GAGGCAGGAAGCAGCCTGATGGGGGAAACCTTAAGAAGCCTGGGGAGCTAAGCAGTGAGTTGGGCGGGGCACGGCCGGGGACAGCTGGTGAGTCCAGTGGGGGCGGACCAGGGCGGGCTTCTGTGCCACCCACGAGACCGGGCTCCGTCCCATGGGCAATGGCGCCATGCATGGGTTTTGCACAGGCTGGGTATCTGGCAGGGCAGGGATGTGCACACAGGGCCTTTGCATGTGCCCATCCTACAGTGAGTGTGAGGCCCTGCACCCTGTGGTCCTGGGAGGGGCTGAGGTGGGCAGGGCCCAGGGATTCACCCCAGTGCATCCTGCACACACATGTGCACACACATGTGCACACACACACACACACACACACCTTTGCCTGCCGTCCTCAGAGCAGACCTGTACTGCTGCCCTCTCCTGACCAGGCGGAGGGTCGAGGACAAGGCCGCACCTGGGAGACTCTCCCTGCCTGCCACGGGGAGCAGGTGTGGCCAGCACCTCTCTGCACTGTCCATGGGGACAGCGGGTGCTCGGGAGGGGCCCAGAGCCTCAGCCGGCATAATGCCATGTTCCTGTTCACGTGTTACTGGGGGGCATTGTTCCCTTGTAGATGGCTGTGGGCCCTGCCCTGTGAGGTGGGCACTCAGCATAGTGCCTGGCACACAGTGGGCCTTCCGTGCAGTGGGGACCGGGTGCTTTCTCTGGCCTGCAACAGGTCTGCAGTGGTCATCTCAGCTTGGGCCCAAGTCCATCCTCAGGGACCAGAACAAAGACACAGGGTCACCTAGGCTATCTGTGCCATGGAGGCCCCCGTCCCTCCCTCTGTCCTTGGGAATGCCACCTGGGAGACTGCTTCGGGAGTGGTGCAGCTTTCCCTGTCTGTGCAGTGCCCACTGCTGTCCTACAGAAATGTTTCAAGCAACACGGCCCCTCCTGGGTGGGAACCTGGCCCTGGTGCCCCTGGTGCCGGGCTGTGGGCCCCATGGAGCTTCGGGGAGGAACGTGGGGCCTGGAGTCGTCTGTTCTCCATTTCACCACAGGGCCCTGGTGGCTATGGGCAGAGTCGGCTGCTTCCCAGGCCTTCTGGGCCAGCAGAGGACTTGAAATGAAGGCGGCGTCAGCACTGAGGAATTGCGGCGCCTTGCGGCAGCAGCCTGGGTGCTGCGGCCAGGATGGGCCTGGAAGGACCTGGCTCCGACCTGGCTCACACCCCTGGGCTCCTGGAGGTGTTAGAGTTTATGCCCCACCCGAGTGCAGCCTCTTCTGGCTCTGGAAGGGAAATGGAGGCTCAGAGCAGTCGAGGTTTGTCCTGGAGTCAGAGCCGGAGCCCAGGAGGTAGAGGGGTACAGGGGTCTTTCCCATGGGCCCCAGGAGCAATGGAAGGCGCTGTGGATTGCAGGCCCCACAGCTTGCTACTCATTGGCATATTTTCACCCAGAAAGAAGCCACCTCCACCGCCCTAGACAAGATGCAGCTCAGCCCAGGGCTGCCCAGGGAGGGAGGCATGTCGGAAGCCCGTGTGCTTTACTAGGCAGGAGCCCGGCTGGGGCAGGGCTGCTGCTCTTTTCCCACGCTCCATGTGAAGCTCATGGGATCCTGGGGATCCTGGGTGCCCCAAGCCAGGAGAGGACTTGGGCAGCCTTGCTGGCCCAGAGCCTCTCACTCTGGAAGGGTAGCTTTGCTGAGGGTCTTTTCTTGGGGTCCCTCTGTTGTTAGCACCCTGTTCTCAGTGCACAGTGCTGCTTTCTGCAGGAAAATCCCAGAGTGCTTCAGTGAAAGGGGGGCCTCCCCAATGGTGGTGCCTCCCCATCCCAGCCTACACTGAACAGATTCTATCTTCTGCTCTTTTTTTTTGTTTGTTTGTTTTTTTTGGTGGTAGTTAATGCAGGGCCTTTGCACTGAGCTACATCTCCAGCCCTTTTTCAAAAAAAAACTGTATTTCCATACAGGTTTCACTAAGTCACTAAGTTGCCCCAGGCTGAGCTTGTGACCCTCCTGCCTCAGCCTCACAGAGTGCTGGGATCGCAGGCCTTTGCCACCATACCCAGCTCGAATTTCAGTGGATCCCAAAAGAGGCCTTTATGGAGATCTACCAGGCGCCGTCTGTGGTCACTCCACTAGTGGGCCAGTCTGGACATAAGCAGCTTCAGAACCCTCTCCGTGGCCACCTTGGGTGGGCAGGAGTTCCCATGTTGTCACCATTACAGGAAGTGCAGGTGTTGGGGCCCGGAGAGCAGGGTTGGAGACCCCAGCAGGAGGCACTAACAGGGTCACTGCAAGTCTTCATCAGCTTCCTGTGCCCGGTGGCTGGATCTCGTCCGCCACAGTTGCCTCGTGTGATACTGGAGAGGCACCCTGATGGCCCCTGCTTGCTCACAGGGACGGAGGAACAGAGTTGTGAAGTGACCTTCCCCAGTGGGGCCGTTGCTGGGCATGGCACGGCGTGCACAAACAGATGTCTAGCACTTGCCCTGGCCGTGGCCCCCAGGCTGGTCGTGGCCTTGGACAGTTCTCCATGTCCTGGGGGCTCTGGGGCAGCAGGAGCCCAGGACGAGCGCTGAGGGCAGGCCGGGTGCAGTGTGCAGTGGAAGTCCCTGGGTGGCCTCTTGGTTAGAGAGGAGCGAGTTGGCTGGGCTCATGGCGCCCCGCCCCAGGCCTCTCAGGTCTCTGCGCATGGGTCAGAACCATAACCCTACCGGGGGCCCAGGTGAAGCAGGGCCTCTTTGGGCCAGACTTGGAGAGAGGACCTGGGCTTGGGCCCCATCCTGTGCTGGGCTTCACAGGAGGGGACAGTGGGGAAAGGTGGGGTGCTCACCCTCCGCACAGGGACCCTGTGGGGTCCTGCCTGGGACCGTGGCCCTGGGGATGGGAGGAATGGGTCAGGACGCTGGTGGAGACTGGGTCCCCAGCACGCCAGGTGCCACGCAGCTGTGAGCCGAGGGCTTCAGGATGGGCTGCGGAGGACGCCCACGTTTGGCAGTGTCCCCAGGCAGGCGATGGCATCACGAAGCGCTGGTTGCTGTCCCCTCCCGAGAGGGATGAGGGCTCTGTGGTGTCGCAGGCCCGAAGGTCCCGCTGCAGCTCTGCAGCCCAGAAACAGCGTCTGACCACGTTCTCTGCCTTCTGAGGGGCTGGGGAGTCGGCCAGAAGGGGATGTCACCGGAGGCCCAGCGTTCCTCACAGGCCTACCAATCACAGTCCCTGTGCCAGGCCAGCTCTGTCCTGGACAAGGGAGCACAGCAGGGACCATGGGCCAAAATCTCCACCCTCCCAGAGCTTAAGCCCCATAGGGCAGGCAGTCAGGTTGCAGAGAACATAAAGAAGTCAAGTCAGCTGTGTGTGGAGGTGGCGAGGACCCTGGGTGTAGCGTGGCATGGCAGAGTGGGAGGGAGGGCAGGGGTGTCCAGAAGCCACCTCCCAGAGGGGTCAGTGGGGCCAAGCTGTGAAGGGAGGGCTAAGAGGAAGCCTGAGCAAAGGCCCTGGGGTCAGGAGAGAGGAGGGCACAGGGAGAGGCCCAAGCAGATAAGGCTACCAGCGCCCAGCTGAGTGAGGGCACCCTTTAGGTTCTGACGTGAATGGAAACTCCAAGGGCATGGGGGGTCCCATCTGACCAGGGGGCGTCTAAGAGGGTAGCTGGTGCCAGGCCCAAGGAGAACCCACCCTCATTGTGGGTGGGCTCAGGGCCATAAGTCACTGTCCCCTCTGCCTTGCCACTCCTGGACCCTGTCAGGGCTGCCCTGTGTGCCTGGTGATGTCGGGCTGGGCAGGCTGGGCCCAATCACACACAAGGTCAGCGAGCATCCCCAGGAGCACCCAGGCCTCTGCTCCCTTTGTCCCAGAGCATGGGGGGTGTGGCTGCGGGTCTGACGCGCCCTCTGACACATCCGGGCCTCCTTGGGTCACGGCCTCTTGTCCCGTCTGGACAGCTGTGGCTGGAATGCCGGGCTCCAGAGATGGGCTGAGGGTGCCTGCGTGTCTGGGGCACCAGAGCACAGGGGAGGCCCCCAGCAGTGAGTGCCTACTCATGTTGCTGCCAGCAGCCCTGGTGCCCCTGGTTGGAGAGGAGGCCTAATCTGAAAGGGCCCTGCTGCCCAGACCGTGCAGAAGCGGTGGCTTGTACCCTGGGCCTGCAGGTGTTTAAGAGCTTACCGCATGCAGGCCCTGCCCAGGCACAGGACATGCAGGCATCATGACCATGTTGTCCCTGAAGGCCATGGGGTGGGCGAAGGGAAACCTCTGCCGGTGCCAAGCAGGGAGGCCCAAGCAGGACCTGAGGGAGGCAGGACATGCGGAGGCTGGGAAGAGGGCACTGAGCCCTGGGGACGCTGCCTTCCACAAGAACAAAATCAGAAACACCTTTTGGAGCACGCCTGCAGTTTATACGCACTTGCACGGCCACACTCCTTGGGGACCCTCGGCTCCCTGAGGTGGGTTTTGCCGGGCCAGCGGGCCGGTGGGTGCTGGTCTCCAGGAGAAGGAGCTTGGGGTCGTCCCCTGGGATCGCTTCGACATCTCTATGGGGAAGGTGCGACCATCCCATTCTCAGATGAGAAACTGAGGCTCTGGCGAGGGGGTCTGCTCACTGCGGCGCGGATCTCGCCAGATGGCTCCCACCGCCTCACCCTCAGAGCACTCCAGCTCCCGGGCCCTACCCAGCACCCTCACCCTAGGGCAGCTGAGGGCTGGGGGGAGGCACAGGGTCCCTCTGGGCTGAGACATCAAAAATACCCCCTGGGGAGCCTGGGCAAAGCCCCTGACTCCTCCTCAGAGCAGTCAAGAGGCCCCCATCTCTGGCCTGCACCCTTGGGGTCGCCCCAGCCACCTCAGGATGAACGAGCAATGGTGGCTGTGGCAAGCCCGAGCCCCTGACTCCGAGCTGACCATCAGTGGCCCCTCGCCCTCCTCCCCGATCCTGCCTCAGCTGGCAGCTGGGTTGTCTGTCCAGGCAGGGGTGGAGGGGGCACCGAGGCCACTGCCAGGCTCCCGGGCTGTCAGCAGCGTCACGGCGCAGTGAGCAGTCTTGGCTGGGGTGGGACGGTGCACTCCCGCCGCTCCACTCTGCTGGTGACATTTGCGGGGGCAAAGCCACCAGGCAGAGGTGTTACACGGAGCCCTGCAGGACTGGAGCCTGGCCTTGGTGGTCAGGTCTGTTCCCCACAGCCTCTCTGCGAAGACTCAGTTTCTCATCTGTGAAATGGGACAGGACAGCACCCACCTCCTAGGGTGCCTGCGGGATGTGGGAGCCTCGCAGCACTGGCGCTTGGCAGCCGCGTGGGTCACGGGTGCACCCTGGCATGGTGGTGCCTCTGCTTCCACAGCTGCCTCTGGCAGTGCTCCACTGCGTTGCACAGCTCAGCGGCCTCCCGGCTGCGGCACCAGAAGCTGGGGCCCAGCACGCACTGGTCGGTGCCCAGCAGTGGGGTCTTGGGGGCGTGGCAGGCCCCCACCTTCTTGCACACAGCCACAGGGTCGATCATCTCCTTGACACTCTGGATGAACACGGGCTCGTACTGCGTGACGAAGCGGTTGCACTCGATCCTATAGGGCAGCGGCAGGATGCTGCAGCCGCCCTTGAAGGCCATCAGGATGTCACGCTTGGTGCTCTTGAGCTCCAGGTTCTCGGAAGACAGGTGAAACAGGCGTTTGCAGCTGTTGCAGAAGCTGCCCTGGTTCTCCTCGTCCAGCAGCACTGGTGACGGTGGGGGTGCAGGGGTGGCTGGGGGCCCCCTGGAGAGGGACCGGGCGCGCCGCCGGCGGCTGCACAGCCGGATGGTCTGGCACACTTTCTCTGGAGTGATCTTGGTTACCAGCTCCACCAGGGCAGGGCTGTAGGTGTCCACCATGACGACGCACTGCTGCATGATGGAGGGGGGCATGATGGTGCACACGCGCTCCAGGGAGTGGCTGATGAAGGCCTCCGTGCCATTGGACAGGAGCCACTGGTCCATCTCCGTAATCACGCCCAGGCACACCTCACAGGTCAGGCCGGACTGCATCTGCACCTCGCTTGTCATCTTGGGCAGCTCCAGCTCCACGGGGGGCAGTCCATCCACAGCGGCCACTTGTGCCAGCTGCTGCGCTGGCCCCCTGAGCTCCTCACAGAAGCCCCCCTTCCTGCAGACCTCCCGTGGCGGGAGAACCCGCAGGGCCTGCTCCGTGGGAACAAAGAGCTGGTGGATGTAGTTCTTACAGAGGAGAGCCAGGCTGGATGCCAAGGACTCACACTGCTCCCAGATGCTCACCTCGGCCAGGGTCAAGTTGGTATCCTGGAGCCGGGAGATCAGCTGGATGCAGTTCTGGCACACCGCGTCCTCGGGCACTGGCGCTGGGGATCGGGGGTGGAAAGTGAGGGCTCCATTGGCCAGGAATGGGGCCACAACCTCCAGTGCCCCCCCCGGGGTGAGTGGAGCCCCCGGAGCGGCCAGGAGCCTCTGTAGCGGCTCACACAGGGTGAGTGCTGAGCACACCTGTGCTGGGGCACTGCCCGGGGCTCTGCGGAGCATGCCTAGGAGGGCTGGGCCGTGGGCAGCCACCATCTGCCTGCACCTGGCTGAAGACTCCTGGCCGGGGAGCCACTCGCAGGTCTTCACCAGAGACGTCAGGATTTCAGAATCCGTGGCAGCTGGGTTCAGCCCATTGCCGGTCGCGGCCACGACATCCTGGCACACTTCGCAGTGCAGGGACTTGGCAGTGGGCTTGCTCCAGACGGCCTCTTGGCAGTGCCCCACGGCCCCGCACTTCACGGCTGCCTGCAGGTCCTGGCACCACACCCTGGAGCCCCTGGCACAGTCTGGGGGGCCCGAGATGCCCGGGACGGGGCCGCCAGTGGCAGCCCCCAGGAGGCTGGGCAGGAGGAGCAGCGTGAGCAGCATGCTGCCCGAGACTGCTGCTGTAGTGCCCCAGTCACCCGGCTGCTGCTATAAACCCAGCTCTCTGCCAGGCCCCAAGCAGGTGCGGCCGGGCTCCCCGCCTCCTGGCCACTCCTACAACCCTCCTCACACCCGCGCCCCGGTGCCCCAGGCCAGCCCCTGCCTGCAGCGCCAGCACCGCCCTCCGCTCCTGTGCCCTGGATAAACTCTCACTCTCCAAAGCCCCTTGTTCTGGAAGGTGCTCAGCTCCCAGGCCCCTTCCCAGAACGCCCTCTGGATCAGCTGGAAGGCCTTTCTCAGCTCCCACCATCCTGCCCTGACCTGCAGGGCCGGCCCCTCCCTGGAATGGGACTCGGGGAGTTGCTGCCCCACTTCTGGAGGCACCGAGAGGCCTCTGGCCTGCGTCTGGGGAGGATGGAGGGAGTAGGGTGGCTGACTCCGCTGGACTCACTCTCAGCCTGCGGGGCCTGGTGCCCACCACGGGACGCCCTGGCTTCCCTGAGCTGCCCGTCCGCTGAGCCTTGAGTCTTCATCTGAGGCCTAAGGGCCCCTTGGCTCCCAGCACCTGGATTTCTGGGCCATGCTGTTTCCTTGATTCTGGAAAGTCCTCTCCAGGGCCGGGAGTCTCTGCTCCCTGGTTACAGGTGTTGGATGTGTGCTGACAGCACACACAAACCATGCTGCATCCTTGGGTTAATGTTACTGCTTTTCCCCGCTTAGTTTTTGAAGCAGTGATCGGGCGAGAGCGTGGGCACTGGCCAAACACACACAGGTGTCTTGGGCTGAGTCCTGTGTGTTCCACTGGGGATTCTGGAGCCAGCTTGCTCTGTCCCGTCTGATGGCCTGATCTCACCACCCCCATGGGCCCTCCCAGAAGCAGGCAGGGCAGGGCCCAATGGTGGAGACTCTGCCGGGAACTGCCGTGTGCCTGGCTGGACGTGAGCCCCACTGTGGGTGTCCACAGCTCAGCCTGGGCTCAGGGTGCTGGGAGAGGCAGGTTCTCAGCTATGGGGTCAGGCATCCGTGCTATGCAGCCAGCCTTCTCTGCCCAGGGATGTGGACAGCCGCCGTCCCCTCGGCCCCTTCCTGAGCCAGGGTTGCCCAGAGATCATGGAGTTAGGTTTGCTGAGCTCTCTCTGACATTGGAGGATTCTGGTTCCTTGGGAAGGGGCAGGGGACAGGCCTGGGGAAGAGGTGACCTGGGTGCTCTCACTGCGCAGTTGGCCGTGAGCCGGCTGGGTGAGTTCCTGCCCAAGGCGGGACTGGTGCTGGCCTGGGTCTGGCCCAGCAGGTGCAGCCAGTTCCCTGCTGGCCCCCTGCCATCTATTCAACACCACCTGGTGTTTATGGCGCGCCCACGCCGTCCTACAGAGATGAGGTTTCGAGAGTGAAGCAAACACGTACCCTGCCTTGTGGCATGCACAGGGTGTGGCCAGCAGACCCGGACTCCTCCTGGTCACTGGCAGCCCAGCCCTCAACACCTTGTGGGAGGCCTTCTGGGGGGACTGAGTGTGCTCCTCTCCTCAGGCCCTGGCCTTGCACAGGGCCCCGGCATCAAGAGCTTCCTCGGGTCTTCGTCTTATAGGGCCCAGCCCTGCCGCCGTGGGAGCGGGTAGGGTCGGTCATGTGGGGCGGAATTCCACTGGTGTCTGTCCGCTCAGTGCCTGTGCTTGTCTGTCCTTAATGGTGTGGGGGTCATTTTCAGTTTGGGGCTGGCCTGCAGGCCACTGTCTGGACACCGCCGGGCTGATACCCAGGAGCGGAGCAGGGTGGACTGTGCCCTTTGGCTCTCCAGAGCAGCTGGACCAGGCGCACCCTTCCCAAGGCCTCCGGAATCCTGGTGCTCACGTCTGTTTCGTTTGAGGGCTGGCAGTTTTCTCAGCACTCACAATGCATTCGCTGTGCTTGCCTCGCGTCCGGGCCTCCCGTGCTCCAGTCCAGCCCTGCCGCCAGCTGCCAGGGAGGGCCCAGGCCCCACGGGAGAAGGGCATAGGTGCAGAGGGCTGCCCACCCAGACCAGTCCCAAGTCCAGGTTTCCACCTGCACTCTTGTCGGGGCAGCTGTAGGTTGGGGTTCCCGCTCCCCCTCTTTAGGTCAATCACTTGCTGGCGTGGCCCACAGAACTCAGGAAGGCTTTTTGCTCGCGTTATCCTCTAGCTTATTGCAGAGGACAACTCAGGAGCAACACATGGAAGGGATTCAGAGGGTGGGGTATGGGACGAAGGCACAGGGCTTCCCACATCCTGCCCGAGAATCTTTACAGAGCTTAATGTCTGGCATCCACCCCTTCCTGGATGCCAGTGTGGGAACTAAAGCTCCAGTGCCCAGGCTTTCTGGCGACCAGTCCCATCCAGCCAGTCTTCGGATCTACACAAATCAGGTGTGGTCCACGTCTTAGGAAGGTGAGTGACACACTGGTCTCTCAGGAAGCTCTCAGGGTTCTAGGAGCTCTGTGCCAGGAACTGGGGATAAAACCAATCACATTCCTTATTAAACCATAAGGAGGTTATGTTTTATTTTTATATAACTTCTAATTTAGAACACAGTTGCAAAAGTAGGCCAAGAGCCCCTGTGTTCCCTTTGGAAGGTGTGTTCGCCTCATTTGCCTTATTGTTGTCCCCGTGCACTCCTCCTTTAGTCCCTCCATCCACCCATCCATCCATCCACCCATCCCTCCCTCCGTCCTGCCTCCGTGGTCCCTCATCTGTCCGTCATGACGTCATTCGTACACCCTTCTTGCTCCACCCATGCGCTCATCCATGTACCAATCATCATCCATCCATCCGCCTGTTCTCCGCCCACCCACCCGTCCTTCCGTCCGTCTGTCCTTCATCCATCATCCATTCTCCTCTGTCAGCCTACCTACCTATCTATCTTACCTTCCTTCCGTCTCTGTCACCTACCTGTTGTCCATCTGTTTTCTCATATACATATTTACATGCGGTTTTTCATAACCAGTGTGAGTAGGCAGAGACGTTGTATCCCTGTGCCCCGTTTCTTCACGGCCTCCCCTATGGACCAGATCATGCTGTCCCGCAATCACAGTGCGTTTATCAAAACCAATAATTGTAGTGTTGACGTGATCCTGTCCCCTACCCCACTCCATGTCCCGGCTTTCCCAGGTGCCAGCCCTGCCCTGTGCTGCCACACCGTCTCTCGGGCCTGGCTCTAACCCAGTCCCACAGTGTGCTCAGGCCGCCTCCGTCTCCTGGTGCCCTGGGCAGCCTCGCTGTGTGCTGTCACCGTGTGTAGAGCGTCCCTGGGTTTGGGTCGGCCCGCGCTTCCAGGATCGCACCGGGCTGTGTGCTGCCACGGGGATCAGGGTGCTCCTGTCCTTCTTGGGGTGCCCTGCTTTGTCCCAGCATGGGTGACTTTTGGTCACTTGGCTGAGACCTACCCCTTTCCTCCTTTCTGAAGCTATTGTCTTCCCTGTAACTAATAAGTAATATTTACAAACTTATTTGGAGACTGCGTAAGTATCCCGTTCACTATTTTCTCACCTGGCTTCCTTTTGCCTTTAAATGACCTTTTCCTCCCTTCTCTCTCTTCTTTCCTCCCTTCCTCTTTCCCTTTCTTTCTTAAAAGACTCATGCACTTTTATTTTTTATTCTTAAAACTTAGTTGGTATTAAATTGTATTTGATAGGTCATAACCCCTACCATTATTAACTGCTCTCAGCTGCTGAATGCTCTTAGCTTTGATCTTTGGCAGCCTGGTTAGGCTGCCTCCCTTCTCTCGTCCCCTCCAGTCCTTGAGTCCTGCTGTGCTTTCAGTACTTCTAGTGTGGCCTTGCCCTGGGCCAAGTGCAGCTGTGCTCAGTCTGGGTCTGTTGTGTTCTCCAAGAAGCCTGGCTTTAGGGACCCGAATCTGGACCCCGGGCCTGCCCATAGCCCTGTTGCCATCACCCCCAGACTCTGACCGGAAGGGGCTGTGAAACCTGCACTCCATACTGATGAGGGTAAAAGGGGGATGAGGGAAAGGGATGTGCATGTGCAGGAATATAAAGGCATATGTTCATAGATGTAAAAACAAGTGCACACATATATGCGTATGTGTGCATATAACACGTTCATCCTTTGTACTCATCCATACCCTGGTCCATCAACCCGTCCACCCCAACCCTCCACACTCCGCTCATCCACCCACCCTCCATCTACCTACACATCTACCCATCCATCCCCCACCATCCCCCCATCTACCCCTCC